TAGTCTCGATCTGGAGAATTGAAATGTCCGAATATTCAGGGAAAGGTGCTGTGAAGATTTGTTACTGAAGTCAATCAGAAACTGATGACCTGACAAACAGCACTTTATTTACAAAGCCAAGTATTTAATGATTTTGGAAACTACGCAGAAGATTCATGTTTTAATTTTGATAACAATGTTATCACAGCTAGGGTATTTTTCAATTCAGTTTTCTAAAGAACTGTCTTCTAGATATCTGTATGAGATTGCTGACACAGCATTATACAGTAAACATGAGAACGCAAGCAGAGGTGAGCTGATACACTGGCTACAAATTTTCAGGTTCATTTTCACTGTAATGACATGAGAGGAATGCCAGGCTGAGAAAGCAAAAAAACCCCTAATGTTGCAGTAGATAGGCCAGCCTGGGGACAGTTTGATATGTTGCCACAATTCAGTGACAAGCATTTTTTGTTAGTTTCCCTGCTGCGATTATGAGGCTATAAGAAAAAGGCCTCATTAATTACGGATTCATTATCTTGCATGGTCGTCCTCACAAGTTACTAGCATTTAAGTGCAGACTAAGAAATTTTTCTAGATAACAAAACATCACAACTGACAACAGCAAGATTTTTCCAAAGCACATTTAGCTGGGAAGATGACCAGGAGAGCTGCTAAGATATCTCCTCCTTTATGCTTCAACTCCTTGCCTTGCGTTTGCCTTCTACAGGCTAGTGGCAACACACCACATATCTAAGGACTCAAGGACATTTTTATCCCCTCGACAGAAACCATATCTTAGATGTAACTGTACCAGAGCTATCTTTAAAGTTGCTGACTTGGGAATTGCTGACTGTGTGGTGGCTGAAAGCTCAGCATAAGTGGAGCCCCTAAGTATTTACCTCTCAGCTGGATTTCGCAGCCCACACTGAGTTCTGCATTGCTACAGCTGAACTGTTTCCAGAGTTGAAGATGGCTCACTAAGGTCTCCTCAAGCTGCAGCCACAGTAAAGTAAAATAAGTGGAAAAAATAGGTCCCTTAACTAGAACTCCCTTATCCAAGGATGATTTTCATGCAGTTTACAGACAGCGATGTCTCTTCTTGTTATTGAGATGCTGTATTACAACCTTCGTTAATCTGCATGGACAGATCAACTTTCCCAAAGGAGGATTTTTTTTTTTTCACCAAGTTATTAACAAAAAACAACTTGAAAAGTTTTCTCTAATTCCTAATGATACTCAAAGGGACCTAAAAAATATTTTAAGTAGCACTGGCCATCATTCACTGTTATTAAAAATTTAGACTGCCACTCAGTCTCAATCCTAGGGAGCGTCTGCAGTAGAAAGTATAGAGGCGGACTGAAAGAGATATGATCTCTCCATTGGGTATAGACACACACTTAATTCCGATGAAAAAAATATTAACATTTCTTCTATAATGTAGCCCAGATTTCATTCAATATTTCTGCTGAGGAAAGTGTATGACATTATGAGGTGCAAGGATGGAGTATGGTACAAAATGTCCAAGCTGCCAAGGATGCAAGTTAAATCTGTAAGGGTCTTCAACAGCACAGGCCCAAACGTAGCACGGTGCTGCCCCTAAATTTCTGCTACCAGTATTCTAGTCACTAGATAACTGATCAAAACCACACTAACTTTGTGAAGATACTTGACAACGCCAAGCATGAGAATTATCCAGTGCACTGAGTTTCAGCCGTTTATTAAAACTTTACATCTTTTCTGAAATCATTTGTTGCTATAGTTCACAAAATTTAATTACATCCTTAAGATCAAAAGGGCAACACTAATGCGTGCCTTATGAACTAATCAAATTTTATCATTTTTCAAGGTTAAATGTCATATGATTTTTTTTTAATGGAAGGGCAGTCTAAAAATTAAAATTACTAGTAGAAATGTCTAGTTTAAGGAATGAGGATACTGTTCTGGAACAGTCCAACAGACAGATTAGTAAGATTGTTTCATGAATCAATTCATTTATGAAATTATCTTTATGAGATTGATTTATGAAATTTTAAATCCAAATTTGTATTTTACTTGGCAGAAAAATTTGTCTCAAAGAGTGCAGTATTTCAGAATATGCCAATCAAGTCTTAACTGTTAGTTTAAAAGCAGAGATACTGAGACAGAGTTGCTAACACAGTCTGTCAACCTTGTCCTACCAACCTACCATAGAAACAAAGAATAGCTTATCTTGAACTCAGACACACGTGCAAACTTTTTTACTCCTGGATCAGTCCTAATTAGAAGCAACTGTTTTAACTGCCAGCATAAACCAATAGGTTCTTCCTATATAAACCTAATTTCTTGCAAACAGACATAAAACTCACACAACACAGGATTTCAGAAGTGGAAGTAACAGACTTTATGACTACTTTTATTTCCTTTCTGTTCAGTTTTTCTCCCTTGTATCTAACGACCCTGTACCATTTGGTGCATGGAGTTCTCATCCTCTGCTATCCCCTGCCAGTTCAAGAATAAGATTCAGGAAATTAAAAATAACATGGAGAACTACAGAGCAGTCTGTTTTTCACCCGAGTAGATCAGAGACTGGCAAGGTGACTATTCCTAACCTCTTAGGAGTTTACTGGCAGGGCAGATAATAGTTACAACACGCAGCTCTACAGCTTGAAAGACCAGTCAGAATGACCTTTCCTCCCAATATAGGAAAGGAGACTTCTCAATCACCGAGCGCAGTCAGTCTCTCTTCTACTGCCGAGATGTAGTCATGCCCCAGACAGTGGGGAGAATTGATCAGAGGGTCCTACCACCTAGGGAAAGGAGACTGACAGATGCAATTTCATGTTCAAAGTGCTGCCTCATGCTCTGAAATGAACACTACACATGACATAGTGCAGCAATTTGAAACAGTATTCCCAAAGTCAGCATGTCTCAGTGATACAAAACCAGTGAAATTCAGGAAAAAGGGCATGCAAATCAGATATTTGTTTTAAGTGAATGATCTCTGTAATCATACATAACTTATTCAAGCAATAAATCCGTATGAACTGAAGTGGCAGGCTGACATTCACATACTATTATGCATAGTGCTAAGTACCTTATAACTGTGAGTGGCATGGTTGATTTCATTTGGGTCATTCCGTGTAAGATAACAGCCAACATGATTACAGATACGGCTTATGAGCCAGGCCAGTTAGATAGCTACTATATTTATAGCTTAAAATAAAATCATATTTTGGAATCTGCTTATCTATACAGCCAAATGTTCTTCCCTGTAAAATGCCAAGGAAAAGACCATAGTGGTATATGGAAAACTAAGACAGAAAGAATTATAGCACATTTGTATTGTCAACTCATTGACCTTGCTAGACCTTATGAAGATGATGGGTTCCTTCATGAAAGTCTTACAGTTTGCTTGGTTAGTCTCTAGGCCTCCAATACACACCATATTTAACCATACACAAAACATTTCCAGATTAAGACCTAAAAATGTCCTTTTTAGGATCTGTTTTTCATACTGATCTTAATGGATTTACTACGCCTAAGAAAAATGCCTATGTTCAGCAGACAGCACAATTCCAAAGCCTGGTATTTTAACTAGCGAAAAGTCTGTAATTTTTTTTAATACTAATTACAATGGAAAGCTTTATAGTTGAGCCCCATTACTACGGAAGCAGATAATGAACTCCCTCAGCCAATTTATGGGGAAGAGGTATGGCAGTCTTCCCATCGCAATAAGTATGTTTATGGTGATTAATCAAGTAGAAGTCTGAAAAACAAGGATAATTTGGCACTTTCTTCCTTTACTGAATGACAACCCATAATATTGTCCTGCACAGTCTGCTAATTTTTTAGATTATCAGAGCCAAAAAAACATCAACAAAGTAAACCTTAAGTTACACAAGTAGTCATGCGGCTGTTCAAGTCAGATTCTGGTCCACTCTGTGCAATGATACTATAAAGATGCTCTGCTATTTTGTGCCACCTCTTAGATCACTGTTCATAGTGGAGGTTCCCTCAAATTTTCTTTAGCCCAGATTTTATGGAGAGGTGGGAATTATGATCCAACTCCACCTCACCTTGCAGACTCCAAAGCTGTATCGTGGTATCTGGCACTTACGCACTATGCCTGATATAGCTCTGGCACTCTTCCAATTCTAGTTCAGCTGTGAAATGAAGAAGGTGCTTCCCCTTACACAGACTAGATAAGTAACACGATGTTAGTCAACAGTCACCTGTCATTCTTGTATATTTCCCAAATCATGATCTATAATCAAGATAGCACAGGTCAAAAATAGGTCTGTGCTGCTGAGAACTGTCATTTGTCAAAGGAGACTCTCAGTCCAATTACTTAGAGCAAAATTATTATACTCTGAAATTCCTGTACCAGGTGGTGACTAATGAAGAGTTCAAACAAGCATAAGGGAAGAAAGCATATAATTTTGGAGAACATAAACAGAGTCCTTACAGGTAATACAATTCATCTGACTCAGCATAATTCTATTGTTTAACTACTGTAACTCACTGTTGTTCAAACCTGTATAATACAAACAGCAGTCTGCTAAGCCGTCACTTAATATTTCTATCAATTCTCATTCCTTGTTTCATTTTCAAAAACGGAGCAGATCTTATTTATGTAACATTTAATACAGAGTACTTCAAATTTTGAATTAGTTGTATAATGTTGTTGCTAAACACTTCATTAAAAAACAGAAAAAGGTTGGTAAATATATTACTGCAGAAGGCCAGGCTTAAAAAAAATTAATTTTCTAATTTGGCTTTTTGCAATTGTCTTATATTTATGTAGGAAATGACTTAAACTTCTGCTTTGTTTTCCCTTCTGCTGCATTTTGCTATTCATCTTTATTCTGATATTAAGTTCTTACGGTAGCTAATGGAAGGCTATAAACATGCTGTAGTAAGTAAACAGAGTACTGCATTCTTAAAACTATAAACCTATACCTTCTATATGTATAATTCTATACCTTCTATAACATTACACTTACACCAAAGACTATGTAAAGAATTATTTGGTGATTTACCTGGTCTTGAGGAAGGTACTCTTGCTATCTCTAGGGAACAAGGTTTTTTGGTCACTGCTATGTCTATCGAATCACAAAGACTGCTGTCATTTTCTGAAGCAACTGCATCCAGAGGTACAGAGGGTATTGCTTCCAATGCATAACCTCTCTTCTTTGAATAAGATTCCTGAAATGCAAAAATTTAAGTACGTAAGAGAGATATTTCTCAGATGACACAGGAAAAGAACCAGGTTCAATAACTCTGGTTAGCAGGGTTTAAAATTCAGTAAATAAAATACCACGTTCTGCTGAAACTCAAATGTAACAGACTGGAAGAATTGCATGCTAGACGATAACATTTCCTGTTTCTTTAAATTTTTGCGCAATATATTTCTTGTTTAGTTACAGAAATGTCTTTATTCATCAAATTTTGTATTTAGCAAAAGCTCCAACATAACTGGTCTCGCCATACCTACTTTGCTAGGTTCTAGTTCGGGGGATGTCCCTTATTCCATTTTTTTAACTATATCTCATGAAAGTGACAATTATGTTACCAATGCAACTACTTTCTCTCTGGGGATGTTTTTACAATATGTTTATATTATAAATAAGAAAGCTAAAAATATGCCATCTACATTTTGATGGCACAATCCCAGGTTGTGAATGAAGATGAATTACTGCTCTATATTTGAGCAAACAGCAATAATGGCGCAAGATCCCTTAACAGGGATACATATGGTGAATTCCCATCATTAGCAAATGTCGAGGGAGGGAAAAAAAGGAATTGGTCAGAAGTTTTGCTGGTACCCTAAGCTGTCCAACCAAGCAGACGCTCTCTGCTTTATAACATGAATAAGATGATACCGTACAGTTTCACCAGAGTTTCTTGATTTGTGATTTTTTTTTTTAATTCCACCAGAAATCAATTGCATGGGCAAAGACATATTTCCATGTCTTTCTTACATTAGACATATGGATGCCTGAGAAAGTCAAGCACCACACATAAATCAAATATGATATAATAAAATGCAATGGGCCAGAAAGTACCCTGACAGTTAGATAATATCACAGCACTACTCAGAAAATGACTGAAGAACACGATGAGGAGAACAGGATGTGGAATAACAATTTCTTCAACAAGAACAACTCATATTTCCTAAGGTAAACTATGGCTGTAGATAACAGCTCCACTTCTAAATTCTACTTGATGACTTCAGTAGAACCAAATTTTAAATTACTCCTACGTTAACCCACCACTGAATAAAGAACTTGAAAATGAATATTGGAAATAGTTAACAGGGAAAAAATTATACGAAATAAACAGAATACTAACAAGCATTTGTAATAAAAAAATGAGAGTATGCACTAGCAAACAATACAAGATTAGTGGTCCATGTTCAAAAAACATGCCAAGAAGAGGAATACGATTGCATCTATACCTTTTTTACCCTTTCCTCTTTATGTCTAGTTGGAGTATGAGCTCTCAGCATTAGCAATTTCACTGATATATACTAATCGTAACTAGTTTCAGCTAGCAACTCCAATGACACAACAAGGAATTAGAAAAGTTTGCAAGTGGGCTTACTGCAGCTCCAAATACAGCTTTTTAAACTTAAGCCGTCTCATTCCTCAATCCTGCAAATAACACTTGCATAAAATTAAGCATGGATATTAGGAAGAGTACAACTGAAATCAGTAAGTTTACAAATACAGACTTTTGTTACTGGAATAAATGTTCATGAGATGAAACCTTAAGGTTTAAATTGGAGTAGACTTCAAAAACCTTGTAATTGATAAATAACAGCAGTGTTAACTCTATTATATTCCTGCCTCTTTATCACAATAAATATAGAAAATATTTCTCCCTAGACTGCACTGTGTAATGTGGAGATACCGAAGCAGCTGAAGTGCAACTGCAGGACAAGAGGGTGATTCCTTCCTACCCTGAAAAAAAGGAATTTCTACCTTGTGCATTTAAGTCTGCTGTAAAAAGACAGAGGAAAAAATGTATTTACTTAAGCAATGACTAAAACTTCAATTTAATCCTTGTACATGCAAGGAGTAAGTCAGAATGCCAAAAGCCTAGTAAATCTGCCTAAAGAAGGCCATGAAGAAATACTGCAGCCTTAAAATTGTCACCAAACACCAAAGTGAAACCCTGCTCAGCTCCTGAAATCAGGTACAGGAAAAAAAACCCCAACGTTAAAAAAAAATATATGACACATAATAGATGTTGGATCGTACTTCCACTGAATAAAGAACTTGAAAATGAATATTGGAAATAGTTAACAGGGAAAAAATTATACGAAATAAACAGAATACTAACAAGCATTTGTAATAAAAAAATGAGAGTATGCACTAGCAAACAATACAAGATTAGTGGTCCATGTTCAAAAAACATGCCAAGAAGAGGAATACGATTGCATCTATACCTTTTTTACCCTTTCCTCTTTATGTCTAGTTGGAGTATGAGCTCTCAGCATTAGCAATTTCACTGATATATACTAATCGTAACTAGTTTCAGCTAGCAACTCCAATGACACAACAAGGAATTAGAAAAGTTTGCAAGTGGGCTTACTGCAGCTCCAAATACAGCTTTTTAAACTTAAGCCGTCTCATTCCTCAATCCTGCAAATAACACTTGCATAAAATTAAGCATGGATATTAGGAAGAGTACAACTGAAATCAGTAAGTTTACAAATACAGACTTTTATTACTGGAATAAATGTTCATGAGATGAAACCTTAAGGTTTAAATTGGAGTAGACTTCAAAAACCTTGTAATTGATAAATAACAGCAGTGTTAACTCTATTATATTCCTGCCTCTTTATCACAATAAATATAGAAAATATTTCTCCCTAGACTGCACTGTGTAATGTGGAGATACCGAAGCAGCTGAAGTGCAACTGCAGGACAAGAGGGTGATTCCTTCCTACCCTGAAAAAAAGGAATTTCTACCTTGTGCATTTAAGTCTGCTGTAAAAAGACAGAGGAAAAAATGTATTTACTTAAGCAATGACTAAAACTTCAATTTAATCCTTGTACATGCAAGGAGTAAGTCAGAATGCCAAAAGCCTAGTAAATCTGCCTAAAGAAGGCCATGAAGAAATACTGCAGCCTTAAAATTGTCACCAAACACCAAAGTGAAACCCTGCTCAGCTCCTGAAATCAGGTACAGGAAAAAAAACCCCAACGTTAAAAAAAAATATATGACATAATAGATGTTGGATCGTACTTCATGTCTATGTCACCCAGTATTCTGTCTACAAAGGCAGCCAACGATGCTGGCCTAGAGAACAGTGAGACCGTCACAAGACCAGGACAAGCATGTAGTAGTAATCCTCCTCCAACAACCCTATTGGGATCCCACACTTCACAGTGAAAAGGCGCTGACTTTGTTTTGCATGTCCGCCAAACAAACTTTCTAAAATTATTTTTTCAAGTTGCCTTTAGAGCACATGTTACTTCTTACAGTTTGCATGTGCCCTGTTTTGTATTTAGCTATCTCACCATGTTTGACATCCCTAATTCTTGTACTCTAGAAGGCAATGGATGGCTGTTCTTTACATATCCTTTTCTTGTGATTTCACAGACCTCTATCACACTTCCCCTGTCCTCTTCTTTAGGGAATGAGAAATTCTAATCTACTCACCCAGCTGTTCTAGCCTTTTGACCATCCCTGCCACCCTTCACCCTCTCAGTCTTCAGTGATGTGACAGGGAACAGATTTGCACATGGTATTCAAGATGAGGGCTTACCAGGTATTCGTACTGACATAATGAAGTTCCCCTCTTTTGTACTCTACTCCTTTCCTAATTGCTCTTACCATTCAACTTGATTTTCTGAATGTTATTCAACATTCTGTAATTAACATTACAAGAATATAAATGTTGGAGAAGAATAAATAAAAATGATGGGGTTACTGAGAAAATGATTGGAATGTAAATTACTGACAAGTAAATTCTTCCTAAATCTCTGCCTAATAAAGCAAATATGATAATAGTATGCCAAGCAGAACTTAAATAAGTTAGAGTCAAAAAAGAATTGCTAATACTTTAAAAAGCCTGGAATTCTATCAACTGATTAAGTGAAGATCATAAGCCTTAATTAAAAGAGCACATGTAGCAAAAAAAGACAAACTTCTTATTACTAGAGAAAAGCAATGTAAAGTGTTCTGGTTGCTGCAATGTGTTCTCCATTTTGCAGGTACTGAGCATATTCCAATTAATTCAAATTAGATGTTAGCAGATGACATAAAATTGTCTTCTGGCATCAAGCAATGCGATTCTGTTTTTTTCCTAAGATTAAAAGCTCTTCAGCATTCTTCTCAATAATATCAGTTCTGTTGTCTCACATCACCACCGCAATGAGCAGTAACTCTACAGTAATCCTACATATCCTAGGTATTTTCAACTGCATAATAAAACCTTCTAAAGAAATAGTCTTCCAGTATAGTTGAATAATCTTTAGTCTCGAAATCAAAATAATCTGAGTTTGTTTTTTTTAAATTAGAGATTATTCAATCTTGAATTCCTGTAAATTATTCCAAAAAGTTGAAGATGACACCTGTAACTGATCACCACTATCAAGTCAGAGTTTGTTCTTGTTTGCAATTACAACTTCATAAAAGTAATGTGCTGGGCTGCCAGTAAGTTAAAATAAGTATTTTTGTGGAAAGGATAAAAATACATACACAATAGAAGTGAGAGAAAAAGAGAAGAGTGCGAGTGCGTGAGTCACTGGGAGAGCATTAGAGAACACTTGCCCATACTGATAAAACATAAATTAGATTTTTGCCTTGCAGAAAGAAACAGCAATATGAGATTGAAGTTGCAGAGCACATGCCAGGGACACAACATAGCCCTTACTTAGAGGCTTCCAGCCTATCACATGTAGTCTGAAACCTAAACAGGACTAGAAAATAGAAAGGCAGGGAGGTTGTGATTGTTGATCAGAGGGAATGAATTTGCTTGTAAAATATCTATGTGGGAATTGCAAATGGTTATATACGAGCATGAAACAATATTCTATAACATGAGTAAATCTTCAAAAACTACATGGCATTGAGTAAGGCCTTTTTTCCATGTTTCTGCCAAGCTTCTAGCTACTCTTGCTTCTGCCTTCTAGATACTTTTGCATTTCCTTATAAGGATCAGCCTGAATGATGTATGCTCAAGGACTGAGATA